TTATGTCTCACCTGGCTTGTTTGTTAAGATAGGGGGTTTCACTAACATTTTGTCTAGACTAGCCCCATACCATGGTCCTCCTCACCTCTGACTGGCCAGTAGCTTGGACTATGGACAAGAGCCACAACATTTGGCCTTCCTCCTTGTTTAAGTAATTGAACTCACTCTCAAATTTAATCTGATCACATGGTTACCGAGGGAGAGACTACATTTCTCTAGCTTTCTGGTAGTTAGGTGAGCTCATGTGACTGTTTGGCTCAATGGGCTGGCAGGGAAGTGATTTGTGCAACCTCGGTTTGTCTACTCACCATGGTCCTTTGTCTGATCTACTTGTCCTGATCTTTTGTGTGTGTGTATCAATTCTGGGGCTTGAACTCAGTGCCTGGGTACTGTCTCTGGGTTTCTTTTGCTCAAGGCCAGTGCTCTACCACTTGAGCTAGAGCTCTACTTCCAGCTTTTGTGTGTATGTGTGTGTGGGGGGGTGATTTACTGGAGGTAAGAGTTTCATGGACTTTCTTATTCAGGTTGGTTTTGAACTATGATCCTCAGATCTCAGCCTCCTGAGTAGCTAGGATTACAAGCGTGAACCACTGGCATTTGGCTCACCCTGGTCTTTTGGCCCTGGTCTTTTTCCATCTACCAGACTAGAATGTGGTCATGTGCTGCGTCAGCTTTGACACTATAGAGAGGGACCTATCTCATGTCATGGCAGAGGAGCAAATTAGAGAGATCTAGCATTACAGACTGACACCATGGAGCAGAAGTGTCCACTAATCCTGGACCACCTGCATCCCTTAGAGTTGTTAATCAGAGAAATAGACTTCCATTTAATTGGGGCCGTTATATGTTAGAATCTTTGTTATAGCAGCCAAATTTGCCTTAAATGATACAGTCATTTTCTAGCTATGAACTTAGGAAAATCACTGCATTGTTTTACTGCTCCTGCATCTCCATGCAGGGAAGTTGCCAGTGATGCCTATTTCCTGGCCTCATGGTGAGGGGTGAATGTCTTCCTATCTGGGTGGATTTGCAGCAAGCTCTCAGTACATGTTGGTTATTACTCACTCATTGTCATAATTCTAAGTGTTCCCCGAGATGAGACAAAACAAGCACTTGTTGGCCTATGTTTTTCTACCCATGAAAGAACAGTTCTTCTAGAACAGTGTCTTCCCAAAATAGAAACTCAACAAAGACTTGTCAAATCCTGACAATGAATGGGTACATGAATACCCTCCCTGTTCATACTTTCCCCTCCTTCCTCCACATGTGAATTCATTCATTCTGCTCACTGCCACTTGACAGCCCTATGCATTTCGGCTGTCTTTTGGCATCTCTCGAGAACAGAGGCAGAGGCAGGTACCTCAACTGGTCCATCTTAACTGCTCTTGGAAGGCATGGCCTCATGTTTAAACACAAGCAGCCAGGACACTCATGGAGGCTTCCTTCCTTCCTTCCTTCCCTAGCCACTCTGACAGGAAAGCACTAACAGTCCCCACTCCGAATGGGAGTCAGGCTGAGTCCTTGCCCTCCCCCCTTGCTCTGTCTCCCCACGCTCCAAGGACGTGCTTCTGTGCTGTGTGGCTGGATTCTTGGCAGAAAGAAACAAGTCTGCTTCTTTAGTTTTGCCTCCCCAAGGAGGGAGCATTCCTGGCTGTGCCTCCTGGCTGTTGTTACCACTGCTGGAGCCAGAGATGGTGGGGGAGCTGGGAGTAGCTGTTCTCTCACCAATGGCTCTGAAAGCCCAGCCCTGGCCTGTACATTGGGCTGCTCCAGAGTCCCTGCCTGGTGAGACGTGATTGCCCGCTGGTAGACACAGATGTGCACCATTTATCCACATAAATAATTGTTTACTATGTAAGCTGAGATGAGCATTCTAAGAAAAACTTCCTGAGGTTACAAGAATATATGATATGAGGCTGTTGTCTAGATCTGTGGACTCACAGAAGTGACATTTGAGCGGAGAGAGCAAGAAAGCCTCTGGTGGGCTGGGAAGGTGGCTCAGTGGTAGAGCGCTTGCCTTGCATGCATGAGGCCCTGGGTTTGATTCCTCAGCACCACATAAGCAAAAAGAAAAAAGCTGGAAGTGGCACTGTGGCTCAAGTGGTAGAGTACTAACCTTGAGCTGAAGAGCTGAGGGACAGCGCTTAGGCCCAGAGTTCAGGCCCCATGACCGGACCCCCCCCCCCCAAAAAAAAAGAAAGCCTCTGGTTTCACTGGGGTACAGAAAAGTAGTGGGATCAGCATGCATAAAGGACCGGTGGTTAGAGACAGCACAGAACAGCATGACTGGCACACAGAAGGAATGAGGGTGGACTGTGTAAGGTCCTGTTCAGCCGTATGAAGAATTTTACTCTTCATCTTGGCAGTTTTAAGAAGAGGGTGACATGGTCACCCCCGTGTCTTAAGGAGCTCAGTCTGTCTGCGTGGTGGAGATAGTTTAGAGGAGGTCAGAGGGGAGGTGTAGAGTGAGAGTTAGCAGGCCAATGCTGACATTGTGACCAGAGCTGAAGGCAGCAGAGGCTAACTGGAGAGCTTAGCTGAGGATAGGAGTGGGGAGACAGACAGAGCGCTCAGTGCTAGCATTCTTTTAATTTTTTTGGTCGTGGGGCCTGAACTCTGGGCCTGGGTCCTGGGTGCTGTCCCTCAGCTCTTCAGCTCAAGGCTAGCGCTCTACCACTTGAGCCACAGCGCCACTTCTGGCTTTTTCTGTTTATGTGGTGCTGAGGAATCGAACCCAGGGCCTCATGCATGCAAGGTCAGCACTCTACCACTGAGCCACCTTCCCAGCCCCTCAGTGCTGGCATTCTAAGCACACCCTTGAAGGACATGGGCCTGGAAGGTCAGGACAGGCCGGGCAGGGGGCAAGCAGGTTTCTAGGCCATTCTCTCAGGTAGAGAGGTTGTCAAGGTTGGAAAAGAAAGAATAAGGAGTTTGTTTTCAGACTTTCTGAGTACATGATACTTCAGTGCTGCCACGTGGCCAGGGGTGCAGGAAAGCAAGGCAGGGCAGGGGGGCACACCAGGGAGCTGGGGGCTTGCAGGTGCTGACTGCACTCACACTTGACTATTGGCAGCTGAGAGAAGAGGTTGAGAAGGGAAGAATGATGGAGAAGGCAGAGGGGGGAGAGAGAGAGAGAGAGAGAGAGCTCACATGATATAGAGATACACACATCTCAGAAGGAAATTCAGGAGAAAGAGATGCAAGCCTGGGGAAGAGGGACCTTCCATGCAAGCCGCAGAATACAGAAGCCAGCAATGAAGAGCTAATCAGACCTGAACTTATAAATCATTGAAAAATCTCTAAATGAGGAAGACCCCAGACTAAAAAATAAACAACAGAATGATCTGAAATGTTTGTGTTATATTCAAAAGATGAAGATGAACACCTTTAAATTCCCTAAAGCTGATTTAATACAAATTAAGATGAAGGAACGACAGTATGCAGAAGAGGAAAATGACATGACCAACAGATCCAGGGCAGTGTCCCCGAGTCCCAGGGGCTCCAACCCATCAATCTGGCAAACATTAAATGAAAATATTACTGGTAATGCTGGGAAATAGACACTTATATCCCTTTGACAAACTACATTTGGAGGGAAATTTGGTAGAATCTGTTAGCATTCTAACCAGAAATACCTCCCTTTAGAGTATCTAGTAAAAGAAAACCTCAGGGCTGGGAAAGTGGCTCAGTGGTAGAGTGCTTGCCTTGCATGCCTGAGGCCCTGGGTTCGATTCCTCAGCACCACATAAACAGAAAAAGCTGGAAGTGGCACTGTGGCTCAAGTGGTAGAGCGCTCGCCTTGAGCTGAAGAGCTGAGGGATAGCGCCTAGGCCCAGAGTTCAGGTCCACGACCGGCAAAAAAAAAAAAAAAAGAAGAAGAAAACCTCAAACTGGTGACTTAGACTTGTAATCCTAGCTACTCAGGAGGGTGAGATCTGAGAATCATGGTTCAAAGCCAGTCTGGGCAGACAAATTCAAAAGACTTTTATCCCCAATTAACCAGCAGAAAGCCAGAAATGGAGATGTGGCTTAAGTGGTAGAGCACCATCTTGGAGCAAAAAAGCTAAGCAGGTACATCAGTTTAGCCCCAATATTAGTACAAAAAGAAAGAAAAGAAAACTTACATATATAAGATACATTTAGTTACAAAGAAGTGCATTGTGCAATTAAAAATGGGTTTTTCTTTTTTTTAAATTTTTATTGTGAAAATACTGTACAGAGGGGTTACAATTACATGGGCAAGATAATGAGTACATTTCTTATCAAGCATTGTAGCCTCCTCCTTTGTTTCCCTTTCCCATCCCTTCCCAGCCTCCCCCCCCCGCCCCCCCACCCAATCCTCCCCGCCCCCCCACCAAAGTTGTAAAGTTCGTTTTCGACATGACAACTTGTACATCTCATTGTTGCAACGGGTCCACCTGTATCCTTAAACGACTTGTTTTTCCCCTTCCCCTCCAGAAATTATACCAACATCAAATACAGTGAAAGCAGGAGTTATACTGTGGGGGAGGGACATACAAAGCAGCAAAGAAATAATCTTATAAATGCGTTAGAAACAAATGCATGAAAGAAAAAAAGCCATTTGAATACATATCTTAGGGTTCATTTTCCTAACTTCACCTTATCTGACCTTTTCTGCTTGACTCAGACATATACTAGATATTGCAAATAAGGGAAACCATGGGACCTATGTTTCTTTGGGCTTGGCTTACTTCACTTAATATAATTTTTAAAAAATGGGTTTTTCTTAGAGACAGGATCTCACTATGTATCCTAGGCCAGAAAATTTCAATTCCCCTACCTCATCCTCCCAAGTACTGGGATTACAGGCATGAACCACTATACTCAACCTACAATTAAAAATTTTAAATAAGTACATGAAAAAATATCTTACTTACAAAGTTATAAAGACTAGAATCAATATAAATCCATTGGCTCTGTACAGATGTTTTTCACCTTACAATAGGGGTGTGTCCTAGTAAACCCATCCTAAGTTGAGAATGTGGTAAGTAGAAAATGCAACTGGGAGCCCAGCACAGTGCATAGCATCTGGTGGTTCCCCTCCTGATCCTATGGTTGACAGGAGCAGCAGCTGGTAGCCGGAATTGCTGGAGACTATTCTATAGCATTTACTTAGCCCAGGAATAGATCAAATTTCAAAGTTTAAAGTATGGTTCATAGCAAATTCATGTCACTTTGTCACCATTGTAAAGTTAAAAAAAGACTGAAGGTAAGTTGAGAATTTTCTGTGCACTTATATGTATGTGTACATGTGTGTATGTATATACTATATATAGAAATGTCATATATAAAAACTACACATAAACTAATATGTATATTTATGAATCACATATATGCAAATGGGCCATCTTGTGTGAAAAGGTGTCTTTGTGAATACCACATGGCGATCCTTAAGTGTTTCACATTGGTTTCTCTGGAGGAAAAAAGGAGTTTGGGAGCTGAGATTTGGGGAGCCTGTTGAAATTCACATGTTGTTTGGGAAACTTCTGCGTACTTAAGTTAGGCAGAATCTTGCATAAGCTGAATAAAGATTACAAAAAAATTATAAACAGGAGAAATTCAGGATTATTTTTTTAAGCCAAAAGAAGGGCAGAGGAGAGTCAGGTTCTGGTGGCTCATGCTTATTATAATCCTAGCCACCTAGGAAGCTAAGACTTGAGGATCACAGTAGAAAAGACTCTAACCAGCAAAAAGCTGGTATGGAGGTATGGGTCAAGTGGTAGAGCACCAGTCTTGAGTGAAAAAGCCAAAGGAGAGCGTGAGGCCCTGAGGTCAAGCCCCAAGACAGGCATAAAAGTAAAAGGAAATGCCAGAGGAGATGAAGCAACTCCTACCAGGCTCAGCTGCCCAGTCTGACCCTGACTGGCTAGGGAAACACCCGTCCCATTCCCCCTTTGGCTGGTGGCCAGGTACCCATTGGTCCTGTGTGAAGTAGGGGTGGCAGCCATCAGCCTGCTGGAGGAGCCCCACATGAGGAGCCCCTGGCACCTGGGTAAGTGCTCTGACCTCCTGTTGCAAGCACATTGACTCTCCCATTCATCCACATACCCTGGCAGAATATTTTCGAATAAATCATGAGCACGGCAGTTACATTCTCCAAACCACACTGGAAAAAGGATTATGGTATTTACTGTGGGGACAGCAAGATTGATTTTTCACCCAGAAAAAAATCTGCCAGGGCCTTGATTTAGGGAGCCAGCCATCAGCGCAGGTTAGCTCTGATTTATATCAACTTGCCTCTCTCCCACAGGCTCCTCTTCTGCCCCAGTGGACAGTATGAGGTGGGACAGGTCTGCAGCAGGTGTGGTTCCTTTAAAGATGGCCAAACACAGCAAGGCAAGCACAGCTGAACACCCATGCCTGAGCTATTTGTGTTTCTAGCCCCTTTTTCTGACTATGGTCTCTTTTCTAGGCATGGGTTTCCTGGATTTACAGTAAACACCTGATGATAGCTAAGCAAAGCACTGTGAACTCTGCACAAGGTGGACTTCCATTCTGACTTAATTGCTCTTGGCTAGATGAGTTTGATCAAGTCAGTTTATGCCCCTGGGCCTTGGTATTAAATAATAATCTTTAACTTCATATGGTATCATGAAATAATAATAATCTTTCCTTGTGTCATGAAATAATAATAATCTTTTACTTCATACTGTGTCATGAAATAATAATGATGATCTTTAACTTCATATGGTATCATGAAATAATCTTGTAAGGTACTCAGTTTGTCTCAACAAAGCCATAGCTTGATTTCGTATGACTCAGTCCTCAGTTACTATTTTGTTTTGTACTGATAGTGAGATTTGAACTCAGGGCCTCACACTTTTGCTTAGATTTTTTTTCATACAAGGCTGGTACTCTACCACTTGAGCCACACCTCCACTTTGGGCTTGTTTTCTGATTCACCTATGATTAGAGTCTCATGGACTTTTCTGCTTGGGCTGGCTTTGAACTGTGATCTTCAGATCTCAGCCTCCTGAATAGCTAGGATTGCAGGCATGAGTTACCAATGCCTGACCCTAGTTAAATACTACTAACTGCAAACCCTCTCTACTGAAGTTCCCTGGGCCTAAAGGCCCAGTGATGTTGTTACTATAGGTTTTCAAGAATGGATGCCTCAATCTCTGTTCCAAGAGCCTCACCCAGCTGTTCCTCTGTGTCCCTGGCTGCGGTGGCCCATGGGAGATACAGCCGTATCCATCAGAGTCACCCACAGATACACTGTTGCTACTCCACACTCAAACACGTCTGTCATCTGCTTAATTCTCAATCTACTTCAGACAATCATATCCCAAAGGTTCTGGATTCATAGACAACATAGAACGTATAACTGCCATGGACAAAGCCTTCCTTGGTGAGCTGCAGAGCAATCGGCTACTTTACTTCTACTTGCCTCCACACAGAAAAGACCAACTCAGGAAGACCCTGAACCTCTCTGCCTCTATTGAAGGCTTACCTTCCCATTGCCTAGCACCTGTCCTCCATCTTGACATTGTCTTGTGTGATTAACACCAGGGTAGCTACTCCTTCTAAGGAAAACCTCACTCCCCTGGTATATGGTGGTCATAGATTCTGGCTCCTCAATCTTCAATAACTCCCCCCAAAGTATACTGATGCTCTTTCTGTTTCCTCTATAAGTGAGGAGTGGGGCAGGGAAGGGCATCCTGCTGTTGCTGAGTGAAGGCCTCCCTCTGCTATTAGAATGGCACTGGGTCATGGCATAGCTCATGCAAAAGCAGCATGCATTTTCTTGCAGCTTCTAATCTCCTCCTCCCATGATCCTCTCTGCCCCAAATGGGAGTGGGGACCACAGGTCTTGGGGCTTCATAACTGGCTTCAGCTTGAGCTCCCAAACAGAACTCTTAAATTCTGAGTTTAAAAGGCTTGTATTCAGGTAAATGGAGATTTCATGGTTTGCTCCAAGAACAACTTATGAGTATTTGTGTTACTAAAAAGCACATCAGGGTGATTTTCCTAAAGGAAAGGAAGAGTTACCTGCCCCAAAGATGAACCTAAGATTTGTGGAAGGAACTATGAAGGCATTGTGACTTTCTGTGGTACTGGGGTTTAAACTCAGGGCTTCTCATGAACTAGGTTGGTGTTCTACCACTTGATCACATCTCCAGCTCTGTGTTTTGCTGGTGCTATTTTTCCTTTCTTTAGAATTATTTCCTTCAAATGCAAAGGGGTTGTAAAAGGTGTTTCAAGTTAATACGTCAATTTATGTGTACATTGCATTTAGGTCAATGTTACCCCTTCTATCATTCTGTCCCTGCTCCATCTTTAACATTACCACTCATCTCTTCAAGTTATTTCTTTTCTTTGTTTCCTTTGAGATAGGTTTTCACACTTTTTTACCTGGGTTGGCCTCAAACCTTTCCTTCTGCTCAGAGCCTCTTGATGAGATAGGATCGCATATGTGAGCCATGGGTGCCTTGAAGGCATTACGGCTTTTTTAGTAGCAGGGTTGTCATTCCCCAGCTCAGTGCACCCAGTGCTTAGGAATCTTAGTAGCACAAAGCCTTGGAGACACGACTGTGCAGATACTGTAACATGTATGGAGCCCAAGGTAGGAAGGGATGCTGGCATTACCCAGTGCATCTCTAAGCATCATTAACTACCCCTTCTGAAATGTCCTTTCTGGTTTGCCTTGTATATTCTCCACTCTAATATTTTAACAGTTTTCAAAATATACAAAATTGATCTGTTTTCAATGGAGTGGTTCCATCTCATGAATCAAGACCATTCTGCTGCTTGCATCTTTTATGCCTGTGATAAAGTCCTTTCTGTGCCCACATGGGGCCAGCCTCCTCTGCCTTCACAAAGCCACATTAAAATGATTCAGGCTGGTGCCCATCAAACCTTAATAGCTAGAATCAATAACCCTTCTCTCCACATGGGATTCATGAGTGCCTCTTTCCCCAACAGGATTTCTACACAACAGAAACATCTACAAGGGAATGGAGGTGCAAGGTGATGAAAATAATCTGCTTCTATATGCATCCAGATTAATCAAGGTGCTTAGGAAGAAATTAATTCAATTAATGAAAAGTAAAGTGTAATGCAAGTGAAATGGGTTTCACAACAGTTTATCCCAAGCTGGGCGTAACTGAGACAATGTCTTGGACTTAGACTTCTGCTTCCAGTCCCCGTGAAGGGAGGCTGAGGTCCACACAGCATTCCCCTCTTTCTGACTTCCTCCCATCTTGTCATCATCAATGAATTCAACCAATTTCCCTAAATTAGCAACATCCATTGCTTCTGAACAAGAGACAGAGGCTGAGCAGCAGAATGTTCAGAAAACAGTGGTCTATGCACATAATATTCACTATACTTGATTGATATCTAATTATCTTGATGTCCAACTACTAAAACCCAAAAGGACTTAAATATCTACTGTTGATTAGAATGTCATTATTCCTGAGTATGTATCTGTCACATAGGGCAATTTCAGTTAATGACACGACAGTGTGATTTATTGTTTATGGACTCCTCAGCCCTCTTTTAACCATTAATCGGCCTCTAATCAATGTAGGTCACCCTGGTAAACTCTTTAGGGCATTTGCTGGAGGACAGGCTTAGTCTCAGAGAAGTTTAGAGGCCTCTGATATGTCTCCATCCTGGGAGATATAGCTTGGAACTGAACTGTCCCTGAAAAGATCATATGTTGAGCTGGTTTACGCCTGTTATCTTAATTACTCAGGAGGCTGAGATCTGAGGATCAATGGTCGAAACCAGCCTAGGCAGGAAAGTCTGTGAGACTCTTATCTCCAATTAACCAGGAAAAAAAAGAGCGAGAAATGGTGCTATGGCTCAAGTGGTAGAGTACTAGCCTTGGAGTAACAAAGCTCAGGGACAGCTACCAGGCTCTGATTTCAAGCTTCATAACCAGCACACACAAAATAGACCATGTGTTGAAGCCCGTGTGTCTTATTAGGAAGTGGTGGAACCTTCCAGAGGTAGGGCTCAATGAGAGTCCTTAGAAGTGTGGCCTTGTTTCTTCCTGCCACCATTAGGTAAGCAGCTTTGCCCTACCATGCACTATGTCTACCTCGCCAAAAAAACCTGAACAAAGGAGCCCACCAACTACCATCATGATGGAAAGGTCAAAGGCCATGAGCCCAAATCACCCTTCCTTCCTTGGCAGTTGATTTTCTTAGGTGTTGTGTCACAGTGATGGAGAGCTGCCTACTGCTGCTAAGGCACTTTGAGGTGATAGTTATCTTAAGGCTGGAGGCAAATGATGAATTGCAGTGGTTTGCATATTAGCTTGCATATCAGTTCATTGCCTGAGAAGCTGTGAAAAAAAAATCCATATGTCCTTTCCAACAATGAAAGCAAGTATATTCATTGAGTGAACAAAGCCAAGGGGTCTATGTGTGCAAGGACCATGGGTTCATACTCACTTGGAGAAAAGAGGAGCCAGGGTACTTTGCGGGCGAACCACTGGGTGTCCATTTTTTGCTGCGTAACAAGGCAACATGATCCCAGAGGAGTAAGATGAATTGAGAGAGAGGGGTGGGGCCTAGTGAGTGTCTTTTGCATGGGGGGCAGTGAGGAAGGGAGTGTGCAGGCTTGGGGTGGTGGGAGGGGAGTATAGGTCTGTGGACAGCAAGCATGCCAAGCAAGTATGGATACTTCTGCATAGGTCTGCCTTGGCTTCGTGGGAAGGTCCCGGAGTATCTTCATGAATAACATTGTCCCTATGGGTGTGAGAGAAAACCTATTGTGTGGCTCCATTCACAGAAAATTGGAGCCATTCCGTGGTGACAGAGAAGAGCTAGCGCTTAAGGTTGGGTGAGAGGGTGTGTTTAGTCAGGGAGCCAAGGGGTCATTTGAGTGAGAGGTGTGTTCAGGAATCTTGAATGTGGTGATAATGCTAGAGGGGGATGTATATGCCAAAGCTCATCCAACTGCACACCCCTCATGTGTGCAGTTTAAGATCCAGCCATGACATCGCAATTAAACTGCGAAACCATTCATGAAATGTCGTCAGAATTTCTCATCAAGGGCAAGGCTTTGAAATACATCTGGATTTTGTCCCTGCTCCTTAGATGGAGAGCCTAGGGTAAGTGACTTAAGATCTCTGGGCCTCAGTGTCTTCCTCTATAAAATGGGAGTTGCAACCTGCTTACCTCGTTCTAGTTGCTGTGTCAATGAACTGGATGGTAATTGAGACACACACACAAAGCCCCCAGGTAGTGCCTGACATTTACTTTTGCTGCCCACTGAAGAGTGACAGTGCTGGTAGCTGGTGGACGAGCCCTAGTGTGCACCTGTTTGTACATTTCCATGTCCTACTTTGCCCACAGGACTGTTAGGTAGGAACCTAGTGTCTGCAAGTGTTAAGGGGGAAGGGAGGGAGGCACTATGGACTCGGGCTATGGCCTGAGTTCAGCCATGAATCTCCCTCTTCCTCACCATCTCTGCAGCCCCTGCCCCCTCCCTGCCAGATTGTAGCTCTATTGATTTTTTTTGTAACAGTCACTAAACTGCTACATTTACCGACTCATTCAGTCTTTTATCATATCGAATAACACAGTGCATTTTTGGAAATCACATTGCCTTGGTTCCTTCATAGCCTCTGCAAATCAAATTTATTTTACCATTGAAAATGTCAAAAGGATTCAACCAAAGGAAACCCGATGATTTCTGGGATGGCAGGACTCTGAAGCCAGCTCCTGGGCTACAGTGAGGAGGTGGCTTGTGCCCTCCGCTCGAGAGGCTGTCTGTATATATTCTCTGAGCATTGTGGGGAGAACACAGCTTTAGGTCTCACTGGGGCATGCTTTTATGGGAGGAAGGACCCATGGGAGGCCCAGAGGGATGAATGGTACCATTAGATGAACTTTCCTGTAGCAGGTTGGGAGACATAGAACCTTGGAGCAGTGGCTCTCAGGGAGGTGACCGGCCGGAGAGGCACAGACTCAGGCCCCAGCCAACTCATTCACAGTACAGAACTTCAGGCCAGGTTTGCACACATGGAACAGGGCCATGAGGACAGAATTCACAGGTGGATTTCAGGACCTGGTTGCTCTGGGATTGAGTCCCAGATCTGCCATTTCCCAGCTGTGAGGTGTTGCTTAGGTGGTATAACTTTTCTGAGAGCCTCATGTTGGCCCCCACATCCAGATTTCCAGTCTCTCTCTCTCTCTCTCTCTCTCTCTCTCTCTCTCTCTCTCTCTCTCTCTCTCGATATACATTGATTCTAAATTCGAATCTAGACAGACTGTGAACATTAGGCAATTCTATAAAATCATGTAAAGTATACAAGCACTCATCTAGAGTTCTTGGGGATGGTTCTCCAGAGGCCTAGAGGAGAAAGGTATCCATGTGTGGAGGAGAAATCTCAGCATACCTTGATGGAACACCTACTGAGGGCCAGGACCTACTGTGATACTCCCTGAGGATGCAAATAGTTATGGTCAGATCCCTGAGTCCCAGGTATCAATATCTGTTGGGACACAGGCATTGGCAGCAATGGAGGGCTACTCAGAGGCCTGTGTTAGAGGAGCAGAGGTGAGACCAAAGCATCTGGGCTGTGGCAGGAGTGGCAGGTGCATTGGTGGTTAGTGGTTAGTGACAGAGGCAGATGTGCAGCAGGACTCGGGGTGGCAGGTGGCAAACATGACAGATGAGCCTCAGACATCAGTCAGAGCCAGCTCCTGGCATTCTGACATGGGTCAAAGATGGAGAGAGTCCAATCCTGGGAGGAGACTGTGGGTGTTTTACATGGGATTGTCTAGAGTCCCCAAGCACACCCCTGAGAACTGACTTTCAGGATAAGCATAGAGTTTCACCCTCAGGTAAGATTTGTCACAGAAAAAGCTACAGAGAAGGAGAGCCGCAAAGGGAGCAGGTGCATGGAAGGAGGGCAGGGAGAATCCCAGGTGTGGGCCCCCAGGGGACTCCTTCAGCAGTGGCTGCTCATGGCTACAGGTGTGAAATGCACCCATCAGGGACCCTCACCGGAACCCAGTGCCCAGAAATGTCGTTGCAGGTCAGGTTATACAGACACCCTTGGCCTAACACCTAAATCCCAGACTCCCAGAAAGAAGGCATAAGATGGTTATACAACAATGTAGGCAAGAGCCTTCTATTACCTGAGGATGCAGTAGCATCCTCAGGCTGACTTGCATGAACTTTTTCTTGAAGGAGCAACCATGGCCTGCTATGTGCTCTTTCCTGCCCATAGGACAAGGATTCACTGAGTTTGCCTGGAAGCCCTTGTGTTATATAGATTGGGGGTGGAACAGGCCAGAATGGAGGCAGAGAGGCCAGAGAGAAAGCAGAGACACATTTTCTAGAAGGAGAATAAGAGCCACCATTGCATAGTACTTACTATTGAGGTGCTTGTTGAAGATAATGAAGTGAAGGCATTGTGTGGCCTTCTTAACTTTGAATAATGTACCTATAGAAATAACTAGAATTTTCCATTCATTTGTTCAACTGACGTTTACGAGTTTTTAATGGGACAGTGCTGATTTGGGGGTCAGATGCACTGAGATGAATGAATGTACTCTCTACTTTGAAGCATTTATCTAGTTCAAGACACAGATGCACAAAAGTTCTAACAAAATGGCATAATGGAAGAATAACAGTATTTTCCAGTTACAATCAGCTGGAAATTCACTTTGGGTAAAATGTAAGCCAGGCAATAAAGGAATCAGTAGGAAGGATGTAGGAAAACAGGGAATCAAAGAATACACTGTAGCACCCAGGAAAGTGAGTGGCTCCAGGGATCTGGTGAGGAGAAAATGCAAGGTTTCTTCAAAGCTCTGGGGTAAGAAACTAAATGGCTCTGAACATTTATCACCTGCTGATAACCTGAGGACCTGTGGGAGAATCTGAGTGGTCTCTTCAGGTCAACACTGACCTCGCCAAGTCTTTTTGGTGGATGGCACTACTAAGTCCAGAACCACACAGAAGGAGGAGCTCTCCACAGAAGTGTACATTGGGTTGCCAGAACAAGGCTAGACTGGCTAAGGCTCATGGCCCAGGACTCATAATTCTCCCA